AACGGAAAGGGCTCATTTTGGAGCTATTTTTTCAACCTATTCACCATAAAGGTTTAAACGAAAACTGTCGAAAAAAAATTCTGCGCGACAACAACCTTAAGAACGGTTGAAATAATAGGAATTCATTCTGGAATAGAACCTGTGTCGACCACTATACCTTCGCATTTCAACTGACAACTAGATCAATTATAATTTTGTAAAGAAATATTTCATTGACAAAGCTCTCTAAAGACTACCGGCTTGAAATAAAGAATTAGTGTTAGAAAAAAATTCTATGATGGAAAAGGACAAGTACCCAATTAGATATATTCTCTCGAATCTACGAGATTGTTTTTTCCTGAAGGGAATTTGTTTTCGTTAGGATCCCCGAGATTATGTGAACCATCGTACCTGATTATGGACGGTAGTAGTAATAAGATGTCTTTGCAGCTCGAGAGGAGATTGTTCCCTGAGAATTGCAGCAATTTTCTCCGAATCGACATTCCTAACATGAGCTATCCTGGTAGGTGACACCAGAACCGAATCAAGGGCTCCCAGTCGGATTCGTCTAGCCTGAACAGCAGCTTCATGATCAACATCCTCACCAGAACCAGTAGATAGGACCGCCCCATTAGCAAGTACATTCTTCTCAATGGTTCTCGTCCTAAACCGATTCTTATGCGCTTTGGAGCCAACCGAAGCGAACGCAGAGGACTTACTCCTAATATTAATCGAATTTTTGGGTGAGGCAAGAGGAGAGGAAGTGACAATCCCCACAGGTTTCCTCTGCGCTGAAGGAACTAGAATCTCTGGATCACCATCCAAACCCACCCTGAGCCTATCCTCAAGTCCACTCTTAATAGCAGAAAGAGCTGCAAGTTCCACCTGGAGCTCTTGTGCTCGCGCTCTGCTGGAAATGGTCTCGGCTTCGAGTTCTGCAACTTTATCGAGCAATTGTTCCTTCTCTCTCCTGAGTAGAGTGACTTCCTGCCCATCCGCATAGAGATTATCGTCCCTGGATAAGTCTTCATTGTCCGCCACTTTTTTCACAGCCGCCAGAACATCATCGGAGAGAGCTAATTCATCAGGAGCTACACTCTCCAATCGTCCCTGAAGGGATTCAACCTCTTCTCGAAGTCTTATCCCTTTCCGGTGGATTACGTCTAACAGATTCCACAGTTCGTCCTCAGCCTCGTCGAGAACGGGCTTGGGTGATGCTGGACGGGGTATCGCCGTTGATGCGCTGTCCTTGGATGATGTCTCAGTGCTAAATCCAGAGTCCTGGACTGTGGCGCTGTTCTTACTGCCACCACTGTGCGAATTACTTCTACTTCTTGGTAATGATGATGCCGAGGTATCACCATCTCTTGGTGCTATCCTCCTTCTCACCTTTCCCGGCTCCCACTCGCCGATTCTCCGCGACGATGGTGATGACAATGGCAATGGTATGTGGGTGGACTGATTTGACGAGGACATCACGGAGCCTGAGACCGAGGTCGTCGACGACACAGCCATCTTGTGCCTGAGGTTTGGGAATGTCTCGATAACGAGGTCCCGAAACTCGAGTAATGCACCGACCTCATTCTGCAGCTCCTGGAGGGCAACCAGGGACTTTGCCTGCTCACTTATCAAGTAGTGAAATGGTCCTGGCCGGAGGGGCATGCAATCCATACCCACTGGATCGTTGCTCACCACTACGCCGTTCGTTGTGCTACCGCACTGCTGTAACATTAAATATTTAATTATTTAATTGAATCACTGAAATAATTCAAAGAATTGTCAAAGCCACGTGATGACACCCGTGGATGAATTCATGAAAGTACCAAAATTCGCATCGAATGATCGGACAATAACCGATGATTGAAGGAGTTATAGAATTTTGTATAAATATTCCATTTCGTGGAATATAATCTCCGAATTTTGGGGGAAATAGCGAGAATGTTACGACAAAATTGCTTAATCCAACCGGCGTCGGTAGCTAGGTGCGAGCCTAGTGTTCTGAAAGTTGTGAGTTCGATTCCCTGTTGAATCGAATTTTTCAACAGGCTGATGAGCGGGAGGTTGGTAATAGAGCAACCGGCTGTACCGACATGGTTTTTCCTGTGGTTTCCCGTGTCACTCCTGTGTTCTATAGGAGAATGAATACGGTGCAGTGTAGGATCTACAGTCGCATGCATAGGGTGAGCCAATTAGCCAGAACCGGGCAAAAATGGCGGGAATATTTAAAAACAAAAAATGCTTAATTATATGTTATAAATTTATTGTGATCATCATGAAAAAATATTTGATAAGTTTATAAATTGTACGAGTTCTCGACTAAGTATTACAATTTTCCTCTTTATAATTCACTCTCAATATATCATAGATTTCAAATATAAAGATAAACGAGATTTTTTGAGAATTCCAAGGGGATTGCCTTCCTACATGCATTCGCTATATTACAATGTGCACATAACGTTTTGATTGCATGTAGTTTCCAACAATTTAGAAGAAATAAAAATCGTGTTGATTTTTTTTCATTGAAACGACAAGTGAGTACGCATGTGTACCTGAGTATGACGAGTGAAATCAAGTGACTTTCATATGTACGTGAAAATAATTTACGACCGACCGTGCGGGTAAAGCACCGCAGTACTAAAGTACTTCATTCGCATACATTCAAAGTTTGGTCAGATAAATGTTGACGGTTTTCACTCGTTTTATTCTCCAGGAGTGAGTGTACCACCTGTAATGATTTTTCGATTTCCCAGGTTATTTCGATGTTAATATAATGAAATGTTATTTACAAATTCACTTCACGTCGTTAAATCCAATCACCCCAAAGGTGAATATGTACTTTCATCCATTTAATTTCAATTTTAGAGTAGTCAATTGATTTTATTATCGGTAAATACATTTTCTTCCGCTGATTTTTCGTGTCTCAAATTTATCTAATTTATCGGTAGTTCAGGTTTTACAACACCTCTTACATGAGTAATACGCCAACAACATTCCTCCCATAGGTGAAATCACAATCATAGTTCACGTAATTGATTGCATTTGAAAGTGCAATTTTTCACAATAACGACGATGCGAGGAAGAAGAAACAATTACTTTATTTTGCTTTATTAAAAAATGAAAGTCTTCACTTCCGTTTGCAGCGATGAGTTACTCTAAAAGTTTATCCACTTGGTAAAAAATTCCATTCTTATCCCATAAGAGAGAAAATCTTTTTTCTTTGTTGCATAACAAATGTACTTGACTAATAATAAAAAAAATAACCAACTCGTGTGACTGTTTTAAGTTGCAGAATCTAGCGGAATAATTGCATTCAATTGGAACTCTTTTTCAGCGAGAATGAACTCATGGAGATCTGTTCGTTCGAATAATTTCCTGTTCGTTGCGTAACGAATAGAATAAATTCAATGAGTTGTAGTGAACTCATCAAAGGGCACTTGTGTAAATAAGAATCGTCGAATCAATTGCAGTACTTCAACTCTCGTATAGAGGATGCGGGCTAGACAGTATTTTGGATACATCAATTTTTCAAAGGATTACATAAAAGGTAAAATAGTATATAATAAATTCTATTTTTATAGGTGATTGTACGCAAGGGCAGGAGCCTTCACGATTTTATTTCAAACTTGTACACAATCCCTTTCTGAAATCTGATTTTTGATTTCGAAACCGTACACTCTGAGTTGGAAATCATAATTGACGTTTATAATTTCGTCATTTACTGGTTTCAGTCTCAGAAATTATATCTCGTATATAATTTAGAAATATCAAATCGTAATTTGTGTAAGTCAAAAGAAATCCTTTGAAAATTAAAGGATTAAATCTTATGAGGCAATTTAATCTAAGTCATATTTAACTAATCACCCCCGTCAATCTTCCGTAAACAATCTATCCCCTGAGGACGAATATTTTCCGATAAAATCGCCCTTCATGAATGCAAATACATCTCAAGGCAATATATTTATAGATTTCCCAGAATCAACGGGGGTTGATGCGAAAACCAATGGATAAAAATTTCTCATCCTTCAATAGTAGTCGTGACAAGAAAGCGCCTTGAAAATCCTCTGAAAGGCCAACGACGCGCCGCTCTTGAATTCCGCTCGACTTCGAATTTTCATTGTTTCAATCCACCTCCACAAACGGCACAAATTCTCAACACAAAAGTGATAATAAAAAAACAGATGTTCGAGGAGGGAAGAAAAAAATGGCAGTATTTTTTTCTTGGACAATGAGAATTAAGAGACATGTATGGGCATCGGGGCATCGAGTTACGGATCCGGTTTCGAGTGACTGAATATTCAAGAGACACATAAGAGACCTGATAAGAAATGGAATATAACGAATGAATAAAAATCGATCCAGTTCCATCTGTGTTAATAAATCAATTCTCAATCATGGGAAGGCAACAACACTTTTTTATTGATGTTCTACATGTATTTTCAAAAATATACGGATTATTTTTTTAATAATTATTCGTATATAGCCGATTAGTGTTGGAAATATTTTCGATGTTAAAACGAACAACCGACCCGTGGTAATAGATCACAGGGAATAATGGGAACACTTGGGGTGTTTATGACCGAACCAGTCCAACACGTGGACCAACCCCATGGGTCTTGTCTTGTGGGTTGACCCTGGATGAACTGGTGATCGAGGACTTTTTGATACGAACTCTCGAGCAAGCTACATTGGACATTAACAACCTAGCTTACATTGTATCGAGTCTTTAACTAAAGTTTATTTGTTAACAATAAATGAAAGATCGAGTCATCCAATTAAATTGTTGGTAATATATTTTCACCTACATCAGGTTTTTTAGATTGATTTAGCTTTAGCTTGGGCGGACTTCCTCGTCAATCGTGTCGCATTTGCCCCAGGAGCAAATACACCATGCACAGACTCTCCTGGTGATCAAGGAAAACCATGGAAAACCTTGGTCGACATCTCGCCCATCAACCAAGCTTCAGCGGGAAATAATATTTCTCGGTTAGTCTTAAAAAATGTGCAACAGATGCAGTTGAATAGACTGCAGAAGTTGAGTTATCTCGGTCATAAATGATTGTGACCAGAATTATCAAGAGGCCATTTAAGCCGAAGAAATAAAGTAACAGAAAGACCTTTTGAAATTTTATCCTAAAACTATTACATTTTCAGATAATTCCGTGACTTAGCAATGACTAATATTTGCGACGATTGAAAGGAATGTCTGTTCAGACTAGACGTTTTGACGATTGGTGGTTTTTAAACATCATTCAATAAACAATGAGTAAGAAATATAATATTCATTAAAAATTCTTAATTCTTCCAAACAGATGCTGAAATTGTCGTGAATTCTTTTTCTTACTGAATATTATGTGGAAGATCAATTTAATTTCTTCAGGTTTTAGAAATAATAATAATATTATTATAATTATATTTATTATATAAAATAGTAATGTTATCGTAATGAATTGAGTTTTATTACTGAATCAATAAATTGAAGATTCAGTGAATCCTATCATTGCAATAATTTCTTTCAGTTCTGCAATTATAAGGAGAAAATAGAAATTATAATCTTCTACGTAAAATGATTGAAAAAATAAGGAGACGATGACCGAAAATTATTATTGTAATGAAGAAATGGAATATGAAATTTTTCATCATGATGAATTTTGTACTATGGCAGGGGAAATTTTCCATTAACGAGAGAATTTTTCTGTACTGTCAAAGAAATTTCAAAGCGTCGTTCAATTAGTGCTTCCGGAAAATTTTCCCAACTTTCCAACATTTGCGGTAAACTAGTTGTTCCTGAATTTCCTCGCAAGGAAATCCTCAACTTTTCTGCCTTCACATAGAATTCCCCATACATATTACGTAATTTTTGTAGAGAATAAAAACTACTCTCTAAAAGTGTTATAATATATTTATCCTCCTCATGAGAATACTGCCGTGATTAAACAATTAAAATACAGTAAACGTTAATTAAAAGAAACTCTAATAACAAGGTTTAGTAAAATATGTCAGAAGATATTTAATGTGGAGCAATGTGATCTCATTCGGGTTGAGAGTCAAACTGCCCGATGGATTTTCCGTTTTGGGAACCTTAGGCCCAAGTCCTCTTTGTTTATGGCCCAGACTAGAGTCTGCATAGCCAATGTCCTAAATGGTTTCCAGATAAAAAACCCCGAGGTGTCGGGTAGAGTCAAACAAGACCCTCATTGTCCTCAACTGTTTATTTTCCAGTCCTAGTCGAACGGATTTAAATTTTCCCTCACATTTTTATGAACGAAATTTCGCATGAGGTGGGAGAGCACCGGATGCATAATCGGAAGGTCTGGGTTCAAATCTTCAATATTATTATTCTGATTCCCTTTCTACCTAATCGAAAATCCTATCCAATGATTTCCTATACCATCACAAAAACGTGAGATTAAGTAAAATGTCAGATATTAAGTAACAATTATTATTACGTATTAAATTATTTCAACAAAAAAGTAATAATAGATAATTGATACGTCCCTAACAAAAACTTTCTATGCTTCACTTACTGCTTGAACGATTGCTTGTCGATTCGTCTTAATTGACCCCTAATTTAAAAACTAAATTATTAGATTATGTAATATGTTGGAATATTTGAGTACAGCTCTTTCATTGTTCTACAAAAATTACTTGACACCATCCTAAACATTCTGGAAAACAGCTCTACTAAGGGACTAATTTACGATCGGTTGTAATCCGAATTCGAGAGTGATTTAATCCTAAACATATGCTGAAATTTCAACAAAGGACTGTGTCCCTTTGAGTTATAAAATTGTTTTTCGGTTTATTCTTTTCCCTGAGAGAGTTTTTCCCTTTGACATAGTTTTTAGTTCCTGGACAACGGTCCTCAAGTTAAGACGTGCCTTCCTCGTGCTAATAAAGAATATTCTATAAAGTATTTCACTATGTCTTCGGTTTTATTTGTTCACTTACACCCATATTAAAATATAATAAATAATAATAATCTAAAATGAATTAAAAGAATTTGTTATGCCGGTTGTTTACATGATTTCTAGTAATCATTAACGGTAAACTAATGTTAGTGTTGTCTGGACAGTGTTCTAAGATGTTGACTCACCACTCAAATGAAAGCAAATAGATGAATTTAATCATCAATACCGTCATCTGTGCACTATTGTCAACAATGATGATTCACTCATGGTGACACTGACAAAGATATCTCTTATCTGTTCAGTAACCGACTGAGCTCACTGGACTATCTGTCACGGTTGTTGAGATCGACACACACAACCACAACTGATATGTTACGAAGATCCATGATAGCACTCGATTTACAACACACGAGTGTCTCTTCATATAAGGATCTGCATGATGCGTTGAATCTTGTTTGAGGGTAGGCGAAAATGTTAGTGCAATGCCCACGGACTTCTTCCTCTTCGTTGCCGCTGTATTTTATGGCCAATCCTGTCCGCCTCCACATCATGACTCTTAAAATCTACGTACCAATCACCAATAAAATCATTTATCCAAATTCTAAAACAAAACCGAAGAGTACTAACGCATTATAAAATTACACTTGAAATTCCTATTTCGTCATCCATAAAAAATAAATTATAAATTTCAGGGACATTTTCACTTGAAATTGAATAAAAAATGACAGAATCGGAAATTAAGATGATTATTCCCGACATGTTAATCAACTTCGAACAGTCCAGAAACAGAATGAATTTCGCTCTTCTAATCAGTGGAGAAAAACATCTCTAAAATTATTCATGGAAAACTCAAACTCTAATAGGCGTGTCGCGCTCTAAGAAATGGAGACATAAAAAAACTAAATGAAACTATGAAACCCCATTCTTCACCAATAAGTAGGTGAAATACAAAGATAAAATAGACGGAAAGGAAAATTGATATGACTCGTTTCTCTTTCCCTGAATTTTCCTTTCTCCCCATTCATGAATTTCCCTTTTTGCTTTCGAAGAATTACCATAAAAGCCCATAAACAGGGAATTAAAAATCCGCAAAGAATTCTCAGCTGCTGTAATTATTTTTTACGAGTAAAAGTTGATAAACGGCGTCCTCCATCGTGATCGAGATTATGCCGTGATATTCACGATGATGCTGTGCATGTGGATGAGTGAAAATCCTCGTCATCATTATTACCCATTACACCGGATGGGTTAAAAGTTGAATATACACAAAAGTTGCAGCTGATTGATCATCCGTTTAACGGATGAATAGGTAGATAGGCGTGGCTTCCGTTGAGAAAGTGACACACTGACTTCTTGAATATTTTTCAGGTTGCTGGGATTTTCTCTGGTGGTCTTGACACCCGACAGGGATTATCAATATGAAAACGCGATAAGAGAAATGTCAAGGGCCCTGGAGACACATACCTGGACACCGTAGACTATAAACCAATTCGGCAAAGGATTCATGCATATAAATCGAAATTCGTTAACCATTACCGCATGGTTGAATATGACCGAACGAATATTTCTTAAGGTTGTCTTATCTACATATATTCGAGAAGATATATGAATTGCTTGGAATTTTTACGAGATTTTTGATTACCAATTATTTATTGATTTTTGATTATTAATTACTCAAGTTTTTCGAAATTAAAAATTAAAAAATATAAAATTTTATTGAAATATTGAAAATTTAGTAGTGAAACGGATATAAAATGATGGTCAAAATTTCGTGACGGTTGAATAATTTTTTTTTTCATTAATTTGTTTAAACAATATAATAATTTTTTATGGATAGTACTTCGACTAATTAACACACTGAAATATTAATAGAAAATCGACTGCGATAAATATAACGAATTATAGATGGAATTATAAAAGAAATTATAGAAATATAAATAAATAAATAAATAAATAAATAAATAAATAAATAAATAAATAAATAAGTAAATTATTGAATTATGAAAATTTGAATTTTTTTTTATGACGAATGATGATTATTGACTATTGAAAAATTTATAGCAATAAGAAACAAATAAAGGGAAAAATAAATAAATAAATCCTTCTCTTGGTGTAACTCTAAAAAACAATTTTTATAAAAATTTACCTATTTCCCTTAATTTTGTTGTTAATTTGTTCATTTTTGTTTTGCAAAAACGTACCTATAGGGTACAAGTTTAATTACCTTGTACTTCAATACAGGATTCATTAAAGAATGGAGTGAACTCTTTTTATCGGTCAGCTATCGAATTTCTGGTTAGGTTTCTGGAGTTTGATATGAGGGAGCCTTCGACACTGGCAGACATGGCTGGAGATAATGTGTGGGCGCATGCGTTTCTCAACGGAAATGAAGCCTTTTATGATGACTGGACGGTCATCGATCTTATTCATCCGGGATTCACGGAAGCGACTCTGATCCGTGACCTTCGTGGAAATGAATTGACAAGATTAATAATTTCGCTAGGATTAATTGGTAGGTGGCATCCGGTAGTGAAAGGGTGAAACGAGACGAGTTCATTCACTATATCGGCGTGTTTACTCTAATTAGATTAAAATTTTCAAATTCAGGCCATTACTCTTCACTCAATTTTCTTTTTTCTGGGAAAGTTTAATGCGACATTTTTAGTATTAAATTTGAGAAGAAGAATCAAGAACGCGGTAGATTAGAGGATATATTTCGATGAAATATATATATATTATTATAATATATTGTTAAGCTATAGCTTTAGATCTGAAATTTTTAATTGCACTGTTAAATTACTTGCAATTTCAATGAAAAACACTTATTATATTTTTTATTTATCTTAAAAATTCACGAAATTTTGATTTTTCATGTTAACTTATAATTACAATTACAAATGCAAATTGAATTTTAATTAAATGAAAACACGGAAATTATTGCGGAAATATACAACAGAATTTCGAGACTCAAAATTTCCTCGTGCTTTACTAGAATTTTATTTATTTATTTATTTAAAGAAAAAAAATGCGTGAATGAAAATTAAACTTTTGCTTTCTGACTTGTAGCATTTACTTTTTTTAAATAAAAATTCTGTAGAAGCTTCTAAACATTTATTTAATGATTCCTAAACTGGAAGATTATAATAATTTACCGTTCAATTAATGAATTAATTCCAAATTAGGCTGAATGACTAGACCAAAACAATTCACATATATTTTCTCCCATATCCCCCATAATTAACTTTATTCTCAGTTGATGGTCGCCTTACATAACATTTTAATCACAATTTTTTCCTCTTGATTCATAATACCTTGACGACGTAAACTACAGTAATTACCCAGTAATGACGTGTGACAAACTGACAAGTTCATTGAACCATACTAGGCCAAGGATGTACATGAGCTAGATTAGCTTCCTAAAAAACCGTGGAATTATTTATTTATAAAATAAAAAAGTACGGGAGACTCCCTGATAATTGACGTGCGTGGGCACATTTTTCTGTACTCCTTAGAAATTTATTTTTATGTTATTAGTTCGAGTGAGAATAAATGAGGCTGATGTCCTTCCTTTTCCATCACAATGTGTTTTTAGTTTTCAAGGAGGAAAAAATTTTCAACTTTCATTTTTAATTAAAAATTACATTCATAGAATAATTAATTTACATCAAAACGAGGTTCGTTAATTAAGGTAAAGTAATAAATAATCAATGAGGCTGAGTTTTTTTACTTCTATAATTATTTTTTAATTTTATATTACATGTAAAATCATATCAGATGAAAACATAAAATAAACAATATATTATGAGATATTGTTTATTTTAAGACAATAAATCGTAATTAATAGAAAAGCAACTGAATTATGTTGAATATCTGCGGATTTTCCATTTTGCTTTTATCATTTTGGCATATCACACGCGACAATTCACTATCTCGTCGCAATTTCTCGGTTGTCGAATTTCGCACAATTTCCAGAGGACTCCGTCTGTTTATTATTGCAATGAGTCTAACAGTCCTTCATCAATTTTTGAGATGCTCTTCATTTTCACACCTTTTTTCACATTCTGTTTTCCATTTTCCTCCAGCAAGTTTTTAATAAATTTTCAAAGTACTTTGACATTAAATTTTTATGAACTACATTTTTATGAAATGTAAACTTCATCCATTTTCTTAATTTTCCCATTTTTAAAAATTCTCTGTTCCTATACTCCAATTTTTAAATAAATCTTAACTAATCTTTGAAGTTACTTTGACAATTGTTGATTTTTGCAGTTTATTTTTTTATTTATTTTGCAGTTGTTCCTCGAAGTTGCGAGCGCTCCCTGACGGTAGGACGAGGATTCTCTTGGTCGAGGCGGATTCACCTTGACCCTAGCCAAGATGCCGTGACCTTTCCGATTGCTCATGATCCAAATGAAAAGTGGGCTGGTTTCACTGGGTGTAATGTTCGCCCACCGCACCACTGTTCCAATCGTGGGATTATCATTTTTTTTTTAACACCAAGAACATGAAGAATTGGAGAAGTAGGACTTGTCGATGACTTTCCAAAGATCGATTTTCTATCGGATGGCTATGAGCACATCTTTGGTGGCTTTCACACCAAGTAAGTCTAGTTATTCGATCCCATCCTTGAATTATATCTACGAGGAAGGAGGGGAACACATAAATGATGTGCAGGTGTTTCATGACTCTTTATTCTAATGTCGATTACTTTCGTTGTACTATCCTTTCAGTTTTTACCGGTTTCATTCGATTATATCTTTTACAACGGTGAATGGAAAAATAAGGTCGAGAGGATCAGATATTCGGATGAACCGAGAAAATTATGTCACAGTAATCCAGTTATTCCAAAGTTTCCACAGAATATCTCTGGGAAAATTATAATAAATGGGAATTTAAAATTAATGAAAATATATAATACAATTTTCTGTTGATTTTCCATTTTTCTGTTGATTTATAACAAGGGTCATTTCAAATACTTCGCCATCTTTCATAGATTCTAAGATATTCCTGGAAAAATTACCTATTACGGTTGAATCGGCTGTTACCCTTTACCATTTCATTACAGATATTCTTTTCTTTATCAATGATTTGAATCACCAGCTGTGGAGCAATGAAAATGCATGAGTCAATTCACCTTCACGAGAAGTTCGAGTTTTATACATTTATCTAGATTTTAAAAAGATGGGGAACTTTGACGAGTCATTTTGTCGGACGTAGCTTCCTCGTGATCGTTCATATCGGTATTGACTTCTTGCAGATCTAAATTTCTCAAAAATGGTTTAAAGGTTTTTTTCATTAAG